CTTGATTTAGAAGTACAGATATGCACTAGTGCAGTTTGTCTCTAAATTACTATACAAATTAGTTGAGTCCGCACCAAAGGGTCTCGCGAGACCGCGGATCAGAACTACGCACTCTTGTAGACCATTCTAGGACTATCACGTGACCGGAAATCAGAGATACAAATATTTGCACGCACTGTCTAATCTGCACCCAAAGCCGTTCACGTGATACGGATCATAGTCGATCTATGATCCGTGCCTAAGTCTCTCACCTGAAAACAAGCTAATTTGCACGTGATTACTAATCGCTATCCAAGGAATACCGCTGATCGTTCTCTTAGCTCCCATGTGACTCACTACAGAGGAGTCAGGTAAGCAATATAGTCCGTGTTCAATGTTTTCACGTGCCTATCGATCCACGGTCCGCTTGTCGGGAGCAGAGGGAAACCGTAGTACGATCCCCTGCCTATCACGTGACAGCTGATTAGCGATCCCCTAGTCAGGAGCTAGTGAGTGTTGTCAGAACCAGTGAAATCCCTAGCTATGAATAATTCATTCATTTAAATATTGACTCCAAATTCAATGGTAGATGTAATAAGAGTTCCGCAGCAATCGATGTAATGTCTGTACTGCATGTTGAGCTCTGCTCCATATCACTGACTTTGGTAACGGGTGACAGGTGTATCGATAACAGACGACCCAGGGAGACGCTCGCGCGCGCAAGGCAGGTCTGGACGCGACTCGATCACGTCCCTAGCGATTCTCTGTATCTATAGCATACATGCCAAGTTTACAGTTTCCGTAGACATGTGTGCTATATCATTTTCCCAGATAAAAAGCAACGTAAATCCTTGATATGAAATTATCCAAAGCACGCGAATGGATAATACTTTCTATTTTTGTTTTTACTTTTCTTATAATCTAAATCATATTGACATAGATATCACATTTACAAAGTACATCCAATGAAATAACAAAATGTATGTTGGAATGAAAGATTCGAGGAACCCATTTCAAAATGGCGGATTCTGATGCAATATTGGATTGCACTACAGAGTAAATATATATGCAGTTTGTGAATGCAATTCTCCAAAGTGAATTAAGATCAATTATTAGCGATCTATGTAAATAGAAATAACGCATGTGTAGCTAGTCGCCATTCAACTTCTTTAATGTACTATTTTTATTTTAGTAAATCTATCACAAAATTGGCAAATCCAACTTATGATATTCACCACAGTGTTATTTGGAAACACTTTTGTACAAATCCGCGTTTTGTCATATAACTACTGTTTATCAGGAATTTTATTTTGTGTTGACACGCGTAAAAATATGACTTAATGGAACTGTGATTGGTTGAATGTTTTCCTTTATATTGTCATAGCCCATGACGTTATATAAACTGTGACGTCACCAATGAAAGATATATGGAGTGAGAATATCGCAAAATAGTTTTTTTTTTAAGTCTGATAAAATTCTGTCGTATGCATCTAAGATCTTTGATACACGCAATAATAGATTCGTTTCAGTGCTAAATAACACTTTTAAAATTCATCACGCAGTTTTCATATTACCGCGTCAGTGGCTCAATAATATGAAAAATTTTCGATTCATAAATTTCGCTTGAATGGGACCTCTTATATTAGATTTCTACGTACACATAAATTAGTAAAAAAACGTTTCTTACCGCAGAGGTAAGACGCCATTCGCATGCCAGAAAACCTGTCGGTGTGGATGCATAATTTACACCGATGAAGAGAAGTGACCAAAACCACCAAACCACCAAACACGTAGCAGCTATTACATAATTGTACGTGTACTTTGGGGGAAAATGAAGCAGTTCTGTTACGACTTCTGTAGCCCCATCTACTATTGTAACAATTAAGTAGGAATTGAAAAGTCGGTAAAACAACGTCATCTTTTGACGGGATTCCTAAAATTAACACTGTTTGTCTTTTGTACTGAATGATTCCTTACAAAAACCTTATAAATATTTATATTTATGAAAATATTTCAAACAAGACTGCCACCTTATGATCTACTTCTGATTGAGTCAAATCTTTCTTTTATCAATATACAAATGAAAAGTTCCATTGTTACCCATTAATGACCTACATTTTGCTGGTGCCGTGAATGGATAGTGTCAAATCCCTCCTCAAGCTCACCAGTGGACAGGAGACAAAATAATACGTTGAGAGCTCACAGCATATTCATATATCTAATCCAGCAGCGCCATTCGTCCATCAGAAATTCACCAACACAAGAAGTCTGGTTTTGAAGTTTCGACGTGTTTTGCATAGTTTTACACAAGAGATCGATGAACACGTCTCAATTATTTCCAAATCTCGTGCTTGTCGCCTTTTAAATATCTGTATGGGGAATTTGTGTCTGGAAGTGGATCGTTCTAATGGTGCTTAAATACCTCTTGTATCTCTCCACCGTATTTTTTACAATCTGTTTGAAGAATGTTTTTTGTTTTTTTAAAGGAATTTGTAATTGAACCCATTGTTTGATTACCTAATTTCATGTGATGATGATGATGATGATGATGATGATGATGATGAAGTGGTGTGATGATGATGATGATGATGATAATGATGATGATGATGATGATGATAATGATGATAGTGATGATGATGATGATGATGATGATGATGATGATGATGATGATGATGATGATGATGAAGTGGTGTATAGATGATGAAGATGATGATGGTGATGATGATGATGATGATGGTGGTGGTGGTGATGATGATGATGATGATGATGATGATGATGATGATGATGATGATGATGATGATGAATGTGATATATAGATGTCATGATCATGATAATGATGATGATGACAAGATTTTGTCGTCCTTGAAATCTGTCTTATACTTTATTTAAGCTTATTCAGTGTCCATTTATAATTTTTGTTTTATTTAAGGAATCTTGAAAATAGTGCGGTATTTTGTCACACAAAGGTGACACAAGCAATGTTTAACGGACCTTTCTGTTTTTCAGTGAGACAGACATGATATCGTTATTACTCAGTTTTCCCAGTTTTAATAATAATTTTAATAGACCTTCGAAAAGAAATTTCTGGTTTTGATATTGGTTGTATCAGTACTTTTACCGAACAGTGACGTTCATTGTACAGTGTATGTATGGTGATAAAAACTACATAAGTAATAACATATATATAATAAGTGATTGTAATGTCTCCTCCCAAGAGTTGTCATGTTACAATCCATTATGCTGTACTCCATTGTAATTTTAAAACAAAAACAATATCGATATGATCAAGGTAAACTAAAACAAGTTTTAACAACTGAAAACTCAGGTGGTCATAGCCATACCTTTGTATGGCGAATCAGAGGATCGAACCCCTGTCACATCGTGCGTCATCCAAGGTGAAACCATACCGACCTACTATCAATAACAACAGATAGTGTTTTTCAATTTGTTATGACCTCTTTGTGGTCAGAAAATCATTTCTGATGAATATCGTTAGTTTTTTACTATAGTTTTCCTTCTCTATCCAAACATGTAGATTTATATCATGTATTACACGTATCTTCTAAACACAAAGAATAGAAAGAATTAATCTCTGCCAGGAAATTTAAAATAATTTCAAAAATCTTTATTATTTTTTTCATTATGACAAGCATTTCAGTTTCCGTGCTTTGTGTTAGATTTATTAAGTAGCGATGCGAATATCCAACGCTGGTCTGTTCTTCTCTGTTTGTTTTCCTGGGTCTGTGTTTCACGACATAATCTTTCATTATATAAAGTCAGACCTTGTTATCTCGAATACAGCGGGACCATTGGGAAAACCTCGAGATAACCGCGTTTTCGATTAAGTGAGTTCGAATGTTTTGTGTAAAGTAAGGAAGGGACCGACGAAATGCTTCGAATTAAACGGGGTCTTCAAGTTGTGCGAGTTTGAGATAACGAGTCTTGCCTGTATAGGATAAACGAGAAAATCAAGTTTGGTTGGGGACATAACAATCACACAGTTCCAAAATATTCCTATCATAGTTGACATGAATTATGTGCTGAGTTTCATTAACGAATATTTGATGAAGTTTATTTTCAATACAGAGATACCATTGCGTGCAAATTGAGAATATCGATTTTTAAAAATCACGTGTATCTTTATAACAAAATATTCATTTTTAAATTAAAAAAAAATGATAAAATTAAAACGTATATACGTTTATCAAAGTCATAAATTGCTTTGAAAAATGAATTGACAGGTTGATGAATACTAAAGCAGATATGTATCAACGGACTCCAGTCAGTATCATAATGACATATTGTAGTGTGCTCGTAATAACACCTGTTTTAGCTGGTAGCGTTTCAGCCGACCAAACCAATAGCTGTTATATCGATTTTCTATATCCTTGACCAAACTATGATCACATTCGTGATCTTTACCGGAAATTTCTTATTTCCTTGGTTTAAACGGTATTTCGTTTCAATATTGCTGTTTCAATCATGTTTTTGATATTATGTACAAGTGGTCTAGAGAAGAAACTGTATTTCAACACTAGTTCATCGTCCTTTGTATTGAATTAAGGTCGACGAGCGCTATACACATTACTTTGTGGAAGTCTTAAGTTGTTTCCACTTCCTAGCTCCTAGTTCCAATTAAGGAAAACGTAACAGGGAACCAGATACTCGTTCCTTTTAAGCTTAAACTAGGAACTGAAAACCAACTTTCTGCTTCCTTATTTTGTCTTGTGCTTATGTTTATCATGCTTATGAACTGTCCGATGGTTTGTCGCTTCTACGGTTCCCATTTTGAGAACATGAAATTACTTGTATTTGACGTACCTTTTCAATGGTCTGCGTATGGATCTTACTTTCGTACACGATTTGACCAATTTGTTTACAAGCTGTTATGATACATATACCATTTGTTGTGTTTGTTCTTGCCACTTTGACCACTACGACAAACAGTCGCTAAGTATGATATTTTTAAGGTTACAAATGTAAATTGCTTAAAACGGTTCTGTTTTTTTTTTATTTTTCAGGAGCAAACGGAAGCTGACACCTTGGCTGGTATGTATTGTCAAAGATCGGCTCCCAGTTCTCTCACAAGTTCACCTTGATCAGTCAACAAGGCATCATAAAGAAGTGTCCGACATCACCATCACCTAATCAATATTTCTAAAACACAAATAAATAAGCTATAAATTTGTTATGTGAGTTGTCTATTCTGACAAATGTCATTAACTGGAAACTTCCGAACGAAAAACTCCGTTGGAGTACAGTTTACCAGATATTCGGTCTTCCTTTAAGTGGTCAAACTTTCTGCGGAGCTTCCGTACGTCAATGTATAGTGTAAATGTTTTATATTATTTTGGTGAATATTAATGTCTGCGCATTAACAGCAAATTGTTTCATACACTATGATGTCAATTTTATAATGTGCAACAGTATATAAATCCTTTGTCCACGACGTAACTTATTCAATGTGTGTTCTTGCCTTTAAAACTAGATATAATCGGAAATTTATGCCTTGAAAGTTTCGATTGCAGAATGTATGGTTTAACGAATTAATAAACAATCGGATTAACGAACATATGGATTAATGGACAAAAGGATTAATAAGGTTAGGTTGTACACGCTACCTTAAACAGTATTATATAACTGGGGATATCAAGTGTTCATTATGCAATGGCTGATATGCAATAGTCAAGTCTACACATTGCTCATTCATATTTGATGGTAAATCTATATACAAATAGGTAATTTCATATACATTATGTAAAACATGTCGCCCCTGGACGTAATTATATTGATCGCTATCAGCCTGTTGGATGTGGATACATAGAAGAATGTCAGATGTGTTTATGCATGTAACATGTGCAATGCGGACTCAGCCCAGCTGTCTACAGCTTGGTTAACTTAACAATCTTTCATGCAGATTATCTGGAGAAAAATACACTCTTGATGCTCCAGGGGTTACGTTCACTTCGCTCTCTGCGCTCGTAGTACGTCATGGTAGAGTTGATGGTTCAGTGTGTGGCACCTTGTGAACAAGACGAAAAGACTAGCTTGATCCTTTGAAGTACATCAAACGAATCTCGAAGGTCGCATAACGGTAAATCGGAATGGCTTTGAAGTTTGGTGTCGCTCGCTTGTAATCTTCAAAAGGAGCTTATAAGCTTGTGATTGGTCAGTTTTTGTCTTCTAGAACCAATCAAATTACTTCGCTTGTGCCTTCAATTTTGCCATAGCATGTTCCAGGGATGCAGAGAGCCAAAGTGATCAATAATGGAGAGAAAATGACACAGAAATGAAACGGTACACATAATGTTTTTACAATTTTTTTTTCTTGTTCCAAATTTGATTTCCTTTGATTTGGCCAGAACTTCAACATTTGGACAGATTTCCGTTATTTACTGTCAAAATTACAAAGTTAGAATGATTAAATGATACAGACTTTAGAATAACAGTAAATAAAACGACATTCAAGTTTTCCAGGTGATGTAACAGATGCTGACATCATGTGTTTTATCCTTAATAGTGTCTTCTTTACGAATTAGAACCAATCAGTTTAAAGACTCTGGTACGTCTCGGTCACGGGTCAGAGCGAGAAGCCTTCCTCACAGGCGTGAACACCCAGCTAAAGAGGAAAGAGGTGCAGTGCCCCCGTCCTAGAAAATGTTTATATGACGTTAAGCTGGAATACGTTAGCGATAACAGGGCAGGTTGGTCCGTTATCAGGTACCAGGTCGAATGTCATTATAACACGGCTAGGTGGTGGCATTTCAGTGTGATGACACTATAAACTGACTTAGATACTCTGTTGTTGAAGGGATTTGAATGTTGTATAAGTTTTATTGACATATGAACAATCCTGGTTATCATTAAGATACATTAAACACAACAGTTTTATTACATAAACAGCCTTTTAATATTTTGTACATGTCACTTGTGTTATATGCCAAGCAGCAATTATTTATTGCCTTCGTAAGACAAAAATCAGTTGTTGATGTCATGATATGGACAATAACGTTATGTCATGAGTAAAAAATGACGCAAAAAATGTCTGCCTCCATTTCATTTTGTCCTCCATATTTCAACTTTTAATCTTATCAAAATGTTATCTTCTAAGTTTTGTGATAAAAAGTAGATTAGATTTGTTTTCATTCTACTTAATATCTAATGAATCTCGTTTTGAAGTATTAAATTTTGCTCTCAAAGGCTCAAAATATTAATTGCAAGGACTCATTTCATAAAATGCCATATGAAATGAAAACCCATTTCGGATCATCATATACCGATTTATACGTCGGTTTACATGTTAACTAAATAACACGAACCCGGAGTAGGCGACACGCAAACGACCTTTAGGAAAATGGCGTGGATGTCACATCTATGTTGCTTTAACTTGTTCTAACCTGACCGATATAATACGGGGATTTCTGATTTCTGATAATAGCCGGCCATACCGGTAATACTGTCAGATTTTAATGTTAAGGATAATTAGCTTCATTAATCCTATTTTACCGTCAGTCAACAGAAATACTGTATTAATTACCACAGGGCATATCAAATACCCTACAATCACTAGGAGACCAATGTAATATATACCATACTATCGCTAGTGTTTCTGGCGCCAGATCTGGCAGTCATCGATCATCGATGATTAATTACTCTATACGAAAGGTTAAGGTTAAATAAAATAATAAAACGGAGTTACCATGGTAACATTAGCATTAAACAAGTGGCAGGTTTATCAGATTGGATTTCTAAGACTTCTACTTCTTTTAAGGCTTCAAAGTGACTGAAAAAGACACGTAACTCGAAAAAAACACGTCTGGCAATTATTTTTAAAGATCATTTCAAAGTTAAATGATGCTTAAGACTTTCTGATCAATGAGGTTTCATCTTTAAAGCAAACTGTAATATTTCCTGTTTATGTTCAATAAAGTGATGGTGGTATTTCATTCGTCTCTTCCACCAATACTCAATACACACATTAAAGATATAAAAAAATTGTCGTTGATTACATAATACTTTGACAATACAAAGGAACCGTTTTTTATTCTCATACAATACACCCAAAGAAAATCTTATTCTCATTTTTAAACTAATTCTTTAAAAACAGAAAAAAAATAATGCTGCATTGGTTGTGTTGGCAGGTTCTGATTTAAAGGACGATAATTCTCAGCAACACGATAAGCGTATGGACACTCTTTTAGACAAAACTGCTTGATGCAGATTAATTCTATTTTCAATCTGCGTAAATTTAATCTGATACTGTTCATCACAGTCAATTCATACCAGAAATACCTTTCTCATCAGGATGTGTCTTTCGTAAAAGCCCTCTCCAAGACAGTAGATATTTGATATTACACAAAATTGAAAACAATCAGAACTTTTCTAGTGAAATGATGACACATGTATTGCTTAAGGAAGCATATGACATGAAGCTAAATATAACTTACATGTGTAACGTGAACTGTAACCATAAACCCTAAACAAGAACTGTAAGTGTGTAATATAAGTAACACATACAGCGAATATATGGTCACTGGTCAGTGTCTTAAGATATAAACTCTATTTTGTCTTTCTGTCCCAATATGCAGATAATATTTGAAGACACTGACCATGTATTTTCATCCTGTAACATTGATTGATAATCAGACTATCAAAACTGTAACAGTTTTGTTGTTCAATATTATTTTACCTGACGTAAATAGACTTGTTCATTACAACATATACAATCGTTTATTTCATCAATTATGTATATTGTTAAACCTATAATATTTATGTATTTCAGTCAGTAATTCTATCAAATCAACGCACATTCTAAAATTAAAACAGCTGTTTTCCGTCACAGCCGAATACAGCAAAAATAAATGTGGTAGATGTATTCCGACAATGGCGGTGCCAGTTGCAAGATAAAACTTATTAAGTAGCAGGAAATTTAGGACGCAACATAGACACAAATCTGCTAATGGAATATGGAATGACAGAAAACAGTGGTATTGAGGATTTATTAATCAATATTTGATCCAGTAAGCGTTATTGGCCTGCTTGTTTTACAGACTACAAGGAAGCGTTTTCACTGTTCGACAAAGATGGTGACGGAAAGATCACTTCCGATGAATTACAGGTTGTGATGAAATCCCTCGGGAAAAATCCGACCGCGAGTGACATCCGGGACATGATCAATGACGTCGATGAGGACGGTAAGTCACGTGATATGACTTTAAATGGTTAAAAAATGTTAAAAACTCTGCATTTGATCGCAAAAAGTGTTATTGACATATCCCGAATAACGGATTTATCACCATGCGGAAATTCTGCTTTTTAATGCCAAAACCTGTGTATACACCCGCTATATGGGTAACACGTCAAATACCACAGTTTCATTGGATGATAAAATGTATCTTTTTAGCCAATGGTACGATAGAATTCGAGGAGTTTGTACACATGATGAGAAGAAGTAACTCCAAGACTACCTATCAGGATTACGTGGAAGCATTTAAAATGTTTGACGAGGATGGAAACGGTTTGATCACCCTAACAGAACTCAAAAATGTGATGAAACGACTGGGCGAGGACCTGACGGACGATGAACTGGACATGATGATCAAGTCGGCCGACATCGACGGCGACGGCCAGGTCAACATTGACGGTAGGTAGACTACATTAGTCTGGTTTATTGTATGGTATAAACCATCTGATCGCCATACGAGTTAGGTTATAGGTTAAAGGTTAAAGGTCATGCTCTTTTTAACCACCTTTTTTTAGTATGCTTTAAGGGTGCGATTGCAATAGGTTAAAAACCATAGACAATGCTATTTTTTTCGTTTTTGAGCATAATGCTATGCAGTGGTATGCTAATTGTTGTTTAGAAGTCAAATGTTAGTAAATGTTTTGCTTTTGATTTGTGTGTCAAGCAAAATTGACGACAGATTAAAGGTTAAAGGTCATAATATTCTTTCTGATATTATAATATGGTTACGCTGAATTCTATCATCATTTTACGGTTGTGTTTCTTTCTTTTCTTTCTTACTTTCTTTCTTTCTTTCTGTGTTTTTTACTGTGATCACCATTTATAGCAGGTTAAACGTTATTGATCATAATCTGTTGAACTGGTTCATTTTTTCTGGTTAATTTACTGGTTTATCATATGAATTAACATTGCATTCAGATCTAAGTTAATCATAATCGGTGTTAATTCAAATGAATGGAAAATGTGACGTGTTAAAATGAATGTAGTTGGCAAAGAATGCAAATATGGTCAAAATAGTCAAGCAATACACATCATTCTAGATTATTTAAATAAAAACTGACTGACCTACATTTTACCTCAAGAGGAGATATATCAAGATATGACGGGCACTATGGTAACATTAGATATATTATAAGTCTTCGTTTAACCCTGACCTCTGGGTTTCCGAAAGAGAGGAGTAAGAGATGTCCTCATTGCTTCGATGTCGCACAAGTTGCCATTCTTCTTAAGACGTTCAGCAAAGGTTTTACTTCATGCCAATGTGTATTTTTCTCGCGCTGTTTTTTATCATATAATATGTATGTAAAACTACCAGGAGCCTCGACTATCTTAAATATTATGTCTTTTAATGCACTCTGCGTCATTTGCTCTTTCGGAACGCCTGGTCGTATCCTCCTGGCATTTTTCAGGAATCTCCGTATTACTCTTCCTTTTGTTTTTTATTTTGCCCTATTGATACTGATTATAAGTTTGTTTTGATCATGGTTATGTTCACATGTTTGGTATTGCCTCATTGTTTTTTGTTTGTCGTATCTTTGGACTTTGGTTCAGATTTTGCAAGTGTGACTGATATCATATTGACATCTCACTCTTTTCTTTTTCGTTTTTTGTTTTTTTGTTTTTTCTTGCTATTTTTGTCTGTATGTTAACACTGTGGTATAATTTGCCTTTTTGTGCTGACTCTGTGTCGAATCGTTGTGAATTATGAATATCTTTTTACATTATAGAATTTGTGATGATGATGAGTCAAGACCAGCGAACAGAGCAATGTCCATGAATCCGAAACCTCTGGCCAAATCTCCTATGCATTAATCATAACAGACGTTAACTCATCGCATCTGTGGGGTAACGCTCGGCTCAAAAGTCGACAGTGCCTCTCTCGCTCATTATCATACATTGATATGTCCAGTAAAACGGACGTACGGATATGTGTTCGGACGGACGTAAAGACGGATACCAACGTTCTGTATTTACAAATGATAAAGTACTTTTTTGCTCGATGTTTTACAAGAAAAATCTTTTGTAAATATATTCTCTTTGTCATCTGGAGCACAAAACTACGCAAGTTCGTGTATACGGATATCGGCTGTCAATATGAATGCTTTAATGTGTCCCAATGTTTCTCTTCAGTCACCGATAGAGATATAGACCGTATTTAGATGTTTTTTTCTTGGAAACTTTTAATACACTAAGTGTTGCAATTTAAACAGTTATCTCCAAGTCCGTTTTCTTGTCGTCTTACCTGTAGTAATTGTGACTGTAAAGAAGGTTGAACGCGTTGAAAACAAATTGTATTGAAAACGAAACATAATGTGTAAACCAAAAAAATATCTGTCCGTTAAAATTTGTCATTGCTTGTATCTTCAAAACATTCTTTTTGATAAGATTGATAGAATTTTTTTCTATGTACAGTTATACTGCTGTTTATACATTTACAAATATTGTCGGTTGCACATACATATTATAAGTGATTTTTTCTGTTGATCATGTACATCTGTGTATTATTTATTTGTTTATTTTCATCTTATTCATTATTTATCTATAATCGTTTATGTCATCATCCGTATGTTTACGTCGATTTGATTCAAAATTCTGTCTTTTGAGAGAATAAGTTATCGGCATCGAGAATTGTATTTACAGATATATTCCAGTGGTATTTGTTCAACTTTCTTTCAAATTTGGATGTTGTTAAAGTACAATGTATGACGTCATATTATGTCATGTATCTCGTGTCATACTTAGACAACATGTTCTGATATGATATTTTTTTTAAAGGTTTTTTCTTTATTTAAATTATCTTTGGTTTCGTTATTTCAAAGGACTATACGCTTTTCCGTGATAATTAAAGCCGAGATTGATTCTAGTCTAATCTCTTTTGATACAATACATTGTAACACGCAATACCGTGTATCTGTGATTTCCAGCTTATTAGATACGTATTCTTCATTTTTGTGACCATTTTAATGTTTTATCAAATTCTACATATAGATACTATTATGATTTCATATATGTGATGTGTACAAGTTTGTTTCTGTTTTTCAAATTTCTAAAATCTTGAAAATCTTATATTTCACTGTTTATATAGATAATTTATAGTATGTGTATGTTATAGATTGAACGTATTGAAATAAGTTGTGAATATAAAAGAAATGCATTGTGATCGTATGTATCGATTACACGTTTTACATCAGGGTAATTTCTGTTTTAAGGTAGCTTATCAATTAGCTTAATTTGAAAATTGAACCACAGGAATCGATTTAGGCATTAAAAATGGTCATTGTATGAGATATTTAATAATAATCATAAAATACAATGTGTTAATTACAACAGCTACATAACACTGAATAATTGCAATGTAAAATTTCACGTAAAAAACCGTTGTCTGAATTTATAATTTAATTTAATTAAGTGTGGTTGTAAAGCCTACCACAAACGTGTGTATATTTATATAACAGATTTATATATGTTCGTAACTTTCTACACAAAAGTGAAATCATGCACCACCATACGTATTGTTACTGGAAAAGGGATATTTTTAGCTTCGAGAAAATCGACCATGAATTTGTAATGAAATATACTAACATTGAAAATCAAGCATTTGTCAGGCCAGGTGGAAAGTTAATCGTAATCAATCAAGTATATTGTAATATGATGCTAAAGTTGACACTGCAAGTCACAAATCTGTCAAATTATTCGGAATTTCTTAAATAAGAAACGTCAATCTAGATTGAATGATTTAAAATTAAGTTCCTGCTCTTGAGAAAGTAAAATAAAACTGGCAGACGCTACACTGTATCAGGGGAAAAAATTCAGGGTATTGTATCAAAATAACATTTCAAGAAAAATAATAACATTCCATTGTTGTAGCAATAATTTTGTCAATATTTTAATATTGTTTTCTTTATACGAGTCCTGTTTCTTGATATTGATACTGAATATTTTGTGCTATAGCGTCCATTTCCTTTGAGCTTTTAAGATTGTGGTGAGCAGGCCATTAAGTCGCCTGAACAATGGTCGTAAGTCAGACTTTGTTACGTGGTAAATAGCGGTAAGACATGCCGTCTCTTTGTCACGTGATAAATGGCGGAAAGATGCACCGCCTCTTTGTCACGTGATAAATGATGGAAAGATATATCGTCAGTTGGTCACGTGATTAATGGTGGTAAGACACATCGTCAGGTGGTCACGTGATAAATGGTGGTAAGACACCGTCTTTTTGTACGTGATAAATTATGGTAAGAAACGTTGTCTCTTTTTCATATGATTAATGGTGGTTAAGACACACTGTCACGCAATAACTTATGGAAAGACACATTGTCATGTGATAAATGGTTGTGAAATACACAAATTCTTTGTCATGTTATCGATTCTGGTATGGCGAATAGAAAGCGAAAGTTAAAAAGAAATTGGAAGGTTATTTGTAATCGTGATAAATTAGTCTGTATTACAGTATTTAGGTGTTGTTGTGTGCATTTTCATGTCTTTGTCCTCGTTTTAAATATATATACTAAATTGTTTTCTTACCAAGGTTATTAAAATTTTGACATTTACTATCTGTTTCTTGTTTGTTTCTATCATGTTTTGCATTATCAGGTAGCAATCAAAGGGAGACAACCTACATCGACTTTGAATGTGTTTGAAACATGTAACAACAATTAGGAATAATTAGATTGTATCACTTGGAATAACAACAAATGATTATAAACAAGATTTATTCTTTCTTTTCCATCTTAAGTTAACGAATATCTACACGATGAAAATGTAACACAAGTCAGGAAGTTTTGATAAGTTTTATTCCTTAATACTTATCTGACGACATTACTAGGATTTCTTATTATAGATGACCTTTATACCAGTATTTTGAAATTAACAACTTATCTTCTAGTACCTAGCATATATAGATATAAATAAATGATAATATAAAAGGTCAAATATACATAGGTCCCGGAAGTTGAAAGTTAGCATTCTCCTGTAATCGGCGAGTGATTACACAAGATTATATATGGGTAATACTCGGATGTAGTTAACATGTAACACAATATACTCATCATGTATTTGAAAAAAAAAAAACAAAGCTTGAAAAAACAAGTGAAGACGTCGTTACTATAAAATCTAAATTATTAATGAGTATGTGTTTATTTTGTCATAAATTCCAGTCCCATATATAAAATGAAAATAGCAAGAAAGAAAAATAGATTCATACGTACCTGGAGAGTACGAACGGAAATTACAGGAGAAAAAAGTGTCTTTTCTTTCTCTGTCAGTCGAATCTTCTCTCCCGAGATGAATTAATTTGAATCAGAAGTTGTCATGAGATTCGGGGTTTGTGGGGAGTTTCATTAACAAACTTATTTTTTACATTATATCAAAAGACGGTTATTCTAAATTGTAAGGATATTGTGATTCATTTCATACTTGGAAACATTGTTCTCTAGATACAGTAGCATGCAGTCAAAGAAAGTCATATGGTTGTCTAGAAAGCTGTACGAACAATACCAATCAGGTGATAATTCTGCTTCTTCATTTCATTGAATTTATCATTATATGACAGTATTTTTTCTAAAAGCAGTTCCACTGTCAAAAGACGATGAATACACATCATTGACATAAAATGTCACTTGACACAAGTTTCAGATGATCGACAACATCAGCAATACGCATGTTTTAAAGAAGAAGAAAAACACAATGGTGGAACAAATCAAACCCATTTCCTGATTTCTGTCAGCAGGAGATTTCTCCACTTCAACCTTAATGTATATTCGTTATTGGTGAACGCACGACTTCCGGGGAAAACACCACGCGCCATCTACAGGGGATGGCGGGTCCAAAAACCTTCCAATCTTTTGTTAATCAAAACAATGTGCACTGAGGTCTTTAGAAAATCGCTAATTCACACACATGTAATCGTTTTTCGATTACATTTATTTTCATTCCACAGCTCTCTAATTTTCACGTTAATTCCACAACCAATTTCGCATGACAGATTTTGCCAGCAATTTGCTTTGCACAAAACTGATGACCTTGAGTTGATATCGTTCAAAATAAGGCTCGTGGGGAATGCGTGGCGTCTTTACTATAAATGTTTCCGGAAAGTCTTTCATTTTCGCAACAACGGAATTATGTGAATTTTTATGAATATGTGTTTGTGCGCAAAGTAAATGACATTTATGAACATTATTTTTCAAGGGGATGATAAAAACAACATAACTTCAACACGCAAGAATTAAAAAATATGGCCTGAAGATTCGAGTGTTAACTTAAGGCTGAGTTCAACATACATGTTTGTACAAGGAGATATAAAATAAAGTCTTTTACATACAATTACACAATAAAATTGGTTTTAAATATGGGCTTTAAATGTTTAACGTTAAATATATGCTCTATATATATATACTGACCTCCTACTTGTAAAAACAGATTTACCTGTGTTGATTACGACTATCATATGTTAGTATATATCATCTAAGTTTGCCTTAGTTTGTTTGTACAGGTGTTTATCGAGAAAATTGTATTGTCATTCGTTATTAGAAGTTGTAATGAGTACAATAATACTTTCTATAGACGATGTAGAACAGTGTTATGTCCTCCCACATACATGGTTACATGCTATGCCGGATGATGTACGTAATGACCATGATAATCAATTACCGTGTCATTGGACACCTGTGTTAATCAGACATTATAAAATTATCTTCAATGGATACATCAACATTAATAATTCAATATACAATATCAATCGATTGAA